GTTTTATATAAACATTTATTGGCTTGGTGCAGTCGCTTGCGCCTGTAATCCCACCTTTTTGGGAGGCTGAGATGGGCAGATCACTTGAGGTCAGCAGTTCAAGACCAGTCTGGCCAACATGGTGAAACGCTGTCTCTACTAAAAATACCAAAATTAGCTGGGAGTGGTGGCAGGCACCTGTAATCACCTACTGGGGAGGCTGAGGCAGGAGAATCGCTTGAACCCAGGAGGCAGAGTTTCCAGTAATCTGAGATCGTGCCACTGCACTGCAGCCTAGGTGATAGAATGAGACTCAGTCTCAAAAAAAAAAAAAAAAAAAAGTGGCCAGGTATGGTGGCTAATGCCTGTAATCCCAGCATTTTGGGAGGCCGAGGTGGGTGGATCACAAGGTCAAGAGATCTAGACCATCCTAGCCAACATGGTGAAACCCCATCTCTACTAAAAATACAAAAAAAAATGGCCAGGCATGGTGGTGCCTGCTTGTAGTCCTAGCTGCTAAGGAGGCTGAAGCGGAAGAATCACTTGAACCGGGAGGTGGTGCTTGCAGTGAGCCGAGATTTCACCACTGCACTCCAAAGCCTGGTGACAGAGCAAGACTTTGTTTCAAAGCAAACAAACAAACAAAACAAATAACCAACGAAAATACATTTATTTTCAGTGAATTTTATTTTTGAGTTATGTATATAAACATAGGAATCAAAACTAAAAATTATGTGAAGATATTCAGAGAAGTCTCACCTCCATTTTTAATCCCTACCTGATTCCACCTCTGTCCCCTATCGATGACCATTTTATTATTAGTTCTTAGTTTATCCTTCATGTTTATTTTTGCAATAACTCACATGTATTAGTCTTATTTTTTCATCACAAAAAGTAGCATACTATTCCACAATTTGTCTTGTTTGCTTAATAACACACCCAGACGATCACTCCATATTGGTATACTGAGGTCTTTTTTGTGCCATTTTTATGCCTGCATAGTACTCCATTGTATAGATCTGTTATAATTGATTCATCCATTTCCTTATTGGCAGGCACATGAGTTGTTCAGAATTATTTTTAAATTTTTGATAATATTGGATAACAATTATAAAAATTACTTTCCTGTCTTGACATAGTAGTGTTTACTCTTAATGCCTCAATTCTGATTTTTTTTTTTTTTTTTTTTTTTGCTTAATGGTTGATGGTCGTTTGCTTTGAATTTGAAAATTAGATCCTCAAACTTATAATAATTTTATTTTCTTTTTGTGAGGGAGTCTCCCTCTGTTGCCCAGGCTGGAGTGCAAGGGCGCGATCTCTGCTCCCTGTGATCTCTGCCTCCCAGGTCCAAGGGATTCTCCTGTCTCAGCCTCCCAAGTAGCTGGGATTACAGGCACGCGGCACCAAGCCCAGTTAAATTTTTTGTGTGTTTTTTTAGTAGAGATTGAGTTTCACCATATTGGCTGGGCTGATCTCAAACTCCTGACCTCAGGTGATCCACCTGCCTCAGCCTCCCAAAGTGCTGGGATTACAGGTGTGAGCCATTGCACCCGGCCAGTAATAATCATCTATAAAACAGGACTGAGTAGACGTGAGCAAGGTCCCAGGGAGCTTATTAGGTAAACCATCCTATTTGAACGTATTCAGAAACTTATATTCAGAATGTCTTTTTATGTCTTATCTTGCTCTTTTGTTTAAAGCTACTTTTTAATTATCAGAGAAAAGTCAGTTTCTACAAAAATAGTTGGCAATCTGGAAATTGGATCGTGTGCACTTCCATGATTGAGGTAGCAAAGCTTTATCACTCCAGAGACAAGTTAGATTTGGTGGAGAGAGAGAGTGAAAAGTAAAAATGCTAGGAGTCTAGGGAGATGGTCAACACATCCATAAAGCAATATGCACAAATACACAGGTAAAAATATGCCTGCACATATCTGTAATACCTGAAAACATGCCTTTAATACCTAATACAATTTTTCTACTTTTCTCACTCAGTGTTATATCATAAGCATTTTCCCATGTTATTAAGAACGCCATAGTGAGTGATTTTTAAATAGCAGGAAATAATGCATTGTATAGAGCAGAACATTAGAATTTTTCTTTTATTAGTGAGTCTCTTTCTATTCAAACAGAATCCACATAGAAATCCCATATATGGTTCAGACAAGATTCTGATGATTCATTAGGGAGTTTTGGCCATTAAATTTGGATCTTTATAGCTTTTCTTGTTTTCTTTTTTGTTTCTCCTTTGTTCTTATTGCATCAGTGAAACATCTTCTCACTGAAGTTATCAATTCGTTTTGTAGTTTTCTTCTATTTTCTGCTATGTCTCTATTTCCTCCAAGCTACATTCTTCTGTTTGTTTCAGTCTGTCTATTTCACGAGGAAGGCTTTCCTCTGGTCTAGTGGTTGTGGCTGTGTGTTAATATTTCAAAGTGAGGCACTAATATGCTGACTGAAATCTCTGTGCAGGTGGTTGAAGCCTAGCGGGGCCCCAAATGCCTGAGCCTATAGATGTATTCTTTGGGACTATTCAGTTCTTCCAGAGAAAGGTCCTGGAGTTTGGTCCTGGAATCTAGTCCTGGAAGATGTATTAGGAAGTCTGGTGGCTGGTTCTCTTGAACAGAAAACTGAGGAAGAGAGCTGAGGGTCTTGCAGCTCTGTGTGCAGACTGTCACTTAATCCAATTTTTAATTGGAGGCATCATTACCACAACCCTCTGCCACACTTGAGTCTTGAAGTACTGAGTCTTTCTGTTTTGGTTATCTAGAGGTTAAATCTCCTGTCTCTTTGGGGGAACAGTTGAAGGTGATTGCCTGACTGCTCAAAAAGAGGGAGGGATGTGGGACTTTTATTGTTTTCCCTAGAAATTTTCCAACCAGTATTTTGCCACACACTTCTCACCCACTGTGTCTGAGACTGCCAGTTTCTTTCTTTCTTTCTTTTTTTAATTGAGAAAATCTTTGCTTGATGCTTTGTACATATGTATGTGGTATAATTTGATGTCTTTTTGATACATGTATATGTTATATAATGAGCCAGTCTGGGTGTTTAGTGTATCCGTCACTTCATGCATTTAACATTTCTTTGTGATGAGAACATTTAAAAGCCTCTCAGCAATTTAGACTGCCACTTCCTGAGTCTTTCAGGGGTTCTGTGGGGGTGGATCAACTTTTTCTCATTGGAGTCTTCCTTGACACACATTTGTGTTTCAGCTTCTTTCAGCTCCTTTCAGCTCTGCCAACTCAAGTCTCATTTCTCCATCTGTTTTCTACTGCTGATATTTAATCAAAATATATCCTCTCTTATCCCTTCTATAGTTCTCTTTGTACTTGGTTATTCATCCTTTACTGTTATATTAATGGAGTTTTAGAAGCATGCAGAAGTCTATGTATCTAGTCCTTCATATTTAACTGAAAACCTCAAGCAGTTTAAATCTCCACTGTTTGGAACAATGTATGCTGTTTATGAAATATGCGATGATCCCCAAAAGCCCACCATAAAGCCTAGTATACATTGTACCATAATTACCGAAACATTATCCTAGTGTGCAGTTAGATGAGCTCTCATTTGATAATACCGCAATGGCACAATGAGCATTTTGTGCATAAATTATCATCCACAGTTATGGTTATTTTTCTGTTTAAATTGTTTAAATTTGCATTTCTTCAAGTTTATTTTTTCTCCCAAATATGTCTTAGAGCTCTTTCTTTTGTAAATTATCTATTATAGATAATATTTATATTATATATGATTATAGTATTTATATATCATATATAATACGTATACATGCATATGACATATTTATATGTGTCAACTTGTAATAATTATAGCACTTTTCTGGATTATTGTTTGCCTTATAATTTCTGCAAACTTTTGCAGATGGAGATGACTTTTTTTTTTTGAGATGGAGTTTCCGGTTTGCTGTCCAGGCTGGAGTGCAATGGTGTGACTCTGGCTCACTGCAACCTCTGCCTCCCAGGTTCAAGAGATTCTCCTGCCTCAGCCTCCCAAGTAGCTGGGATTGCAGGTGCACGCCACCATGCCTGGCTAATTTTTTTGTATTTTTATTAGAGACAGGGTTTCTCCATGTTGGTCAGGCTGGTTTCGAACTGCCGACCTCAAGTGATCTGCCTGTCTTGGCCTCCCAAAGTACTGGGATTACAGGCGTGAGCCATCATGTCCAGCTAGAGATGACATTTTTAATTTTGGCACAAACACATCGGATTTTTTCTGTTAAACACAGGGTCTCACCTACAGGCATGTACCACCACACCAGGCTAATATTTAAATTTTTTATAGAAACAAGGTCTCATTCTGTTGCCCAGGCCAGTCTTGTACTCCTGGCCTCAAGCAATCCTTCTATCTCAGCCTCCCGAGGAGTGAGCCACTGCACTGGCCAATATTTAGCAAATATGTCTGATTTTGGAGATAAAGAGGTGAGAATCAGAGTCAAGGGTCAGATTTCAGAGACTGCAGTAGCTTATTATGGGAAATGTGGAGAGAAGCACTGGGGGAGTGGAACAAGAACTGAGATTTGGGAAATTCTTACAGCAAAGGGGAGAAGAAGAGGATTTGGTGAAGATGAGGCAGCGAGGTACCAGAGAGGGCTGCATTGGGGTCTAAGTACTAGACTGAAGAGTTAAGGACTTATGAATGGATGCTGGGCATGGTGGCTTATGCCTGTAATCCCAGCACTTTGGGAGGCTGAGGTGGGTGGATCACCCGAAGTCGGGAGTTCCAGACCAGCCTGGCCAATAAAGTTAAACACCATCTCTACTAAAAATTCTCACACAAAAAATTAGCCAGGCATTGTGATGGGCACCTGTAGTTCCTGCTACTCTGGAGGCTGAGACAGGAGAATTGCTTTGACATGGGAGGCAGAGGTTGCAGTGAGCTGAGATGGTGCTACTACACTCCAGCTGGGGCGACAGAGAGAAACTGGTCTCCAAAAAAATAAAAAATAAGACTTAGGAATGGGTAAAATGATCCTGCCCAATCATACCCTTTCTTGCCCATAGGTTGAAGCCCCAAAGCCATTCCTGCAGACGCTCCTGGACACATCTGAAGACAAACAAGGTAGTGAGAAAATGTGTTACATTTTCTTAATGATGTAAGTTTATCTCACCAGAACTGCCTTTAGCACTTAAAAGCACTGCCTTCTCAAGGGACACTAGTGCTGCAGGTTAAAGATTCCAGTGAATCCCAGTCCTCAACCATTCCTTTTCTCTTCCTATTTAAGTAAGAGTTAAACACCATCTCTACTAAAAATTCTCACACAAAAAAGGTTTAATTCAGGTAGCTGAATTACCAAGGCTATTGTTTCTCAAATAGAAAGTTTAGTTCCATAGAAGAGTAGTGTGTACCTTCCATTAGGAAGTGTCTCTGGAGCTACAAAACTCCCCACAGTTGGTAGGAAACTGATTTTTCAAATTGGACATTTTGACTTTGCTTCTTCCCATTCTTGGGCTTGTACTTGCTGTCTTGCTCCACCTCCTATCTTTAACACCATCACTCTAATAAGGAGAACTCTAAATCACTGTTTTGCAAGGGTGACTCCTGGCAAAAGCCCACTATGTTTTTTTTTGGGGGGGGGGGGGAATTACTTAGAATGCAGAAGCAATGCTGGATTGATGAGGTTGTGGAACTTCCCAAAAGGGCAGAGCAGACTGAGGAAGGGAGCACAGGGGGTTTATGAACCATATCTTTGTTGAAGACAATTCTTGCTCCATCTTTTGTTAAATGTACTTAGTTACTTCATAAATACTTCAGGGAAAACTATATTCATAGAAAATAGTAGAGACTGCATGGTCTTTAGTTTCATAGCCTAATTTTTAATAGCATCATGTCCTTGTTTCTGTTAGATTTCTGCTGATTTCACTCAGATCAGTGACATAGGAATACATCCTTAATGGTATAGCCTCTCATCTTTCAGTATCTAAATTTAGGATAGTCTCACAACATTACCCCTGTGATGAGTCCTTGGATTTTCTAAGGATTGCTTTTTACTAACAACTTGATCACATGTATTTCCATGGCCTTAAAATCAATGCCTGTTAAAGTGACCCAAGCCTAAATCTTGGCTCTTGATTTTTCATTCTAATGAAAATTACTGTGATGAAGGAGCAGTGATTTGAATAAACAAACATTTACTGAGTGCCAACTGTGTGTAAGACCTAGTGATGCTGTTTTTATTGTGCTGTTTGAATAGAACGCCACGTGTGCACCAATGCAGGGAACAGAGGCAGGCAGGGTAGAGGAAAGCTTGGAAAGTTTTCAAGATTAATTAGCACGAAGGTGGGGCATTTGGGATATCTGGCACCAGATAGTAATCAACAGTACTAATTATACTCTCATATTAAATCAGTTATGGTGGATGAATTGGAATCCATCAGCCAGTATGGCTAAGGATGCTGCAGCTGTTGTGAGTTCTCTTTACGTGTTTCCATAGCTCATGTGTTGGTAGGTTGCATTTTATTCTTTTGGATTTCTATTAAAGAAAAGAATCCCCAGTTTTTTTTCAGTTTTACTAGAAAAATTCTACTACAATAATATGGTAGTAGAAATTAAACTTTCTACTTAAAATCAATGCCAGTTAAAGTAACCCAAGCCTAAATCTTGGCTCTTAATTTTTTATTCTAATGAGAATTCCTGTGATGAAGGAGCAGTGATTTGAATAAAAGAAAGATGTATGAATATACAAATCACCTGGAATGATACATTCTCAGTGGAGTCATTGTGTAGTCAACACTTTGTATTCTCAGTTTCTTGGTAAATAGGTAAGGATACTTACATGATCGAACAGGACGTGTGAATGGAGCTTCGGGCATGAGTTCCAAATTATGTCACTTCATGGCTAAACTTTATGATATGTTCTGTTTATTAATATTTCTATTGAGAAATTGGATGGTAATTGGAGCTGAGTGAGCTGGTTGGTGGGGTCAAGAATGGGTCAGCATCTTCCTGACAGGTTCAGGTGAGTGGCATGTGAAGTCTGGTGTGGCCTTTCTTTTGTTTGGCTGGAGCTGTTTTTCTCTAGATTGATTGCACTATAATTTGGGCATTAGCACTAGGGCACTTAGACAATATTTGTGCCGTTTTGAAGGGAATTTAATTCCACTGAATGTGTTAAATGCATATGATTGGTATTCAATACATTTAATATTCAGCAACCTAGGACAAGACATGAAAATGTAAAATGTAGACGTCTCTTTTTTTTTTTTTAAGAAAACATCAGTTATTAAGAATGTTTTTAGTGGCTGGTTGTGGTGGCTCATGCCTGTGATCCCAGAACTTTGGGAGGCAAGGCAGGTGGGATTATCTGTGTTCTGGCATTTGAGACCAGACTGGCCAACATGGGGAAACCCCGTCTCTATCAAAAATGCAAAAATTAGCCAGGTGTGGTGGCAGGCACCTATAATCCCAGCTACTTAGGAGGCTGAGACAAGAGAATCACTTGAACCCAAAAGATGGTTGCAGTGAGCTGAGATCACACCACAGCAATCCAGCCTGGGCAGCAGAGTGAGACTCCATCTCAAGAAAAAAAAAATAATAATAAAAAAATGTTTTTAGTAAGCAGCCACATGTATTCACATGAGATGATGCCTTGGAGAGGGAGAGTAATCTGTCCTCTGTTTTTTGTTTTTTTTTTCTGTAAATTGATAGTTAGAGCTAGAGCCTATCAACTCTAGAGGATCACTCAGATTTGGATTATTTTTGACAAGAATATTTCTTTCTTTCCTTCCTTCCTTCCTTCCTTCCTTCCTTCCTTCCTTCCTTCCTTCCTTCCTTCTTTCTTCTTTCTTTCTTGAGGAGTCTTGCTCTGTCACCTATGTTGGAGTGTAGTGGTGCAATCTCAGCTCACTGCAATCTCCCCCTCAGGGGTTCAAGTGATCCTCCTGCCTCAGCCTCCCAAGTAGCTGGGATTATAGGCACCTGCATCATGCCTGGCTAGTTTTTGTAATTTTGGTAGAGAAGGAGTTTCACCATGTTTTCCAGGCTGGTCTCAAACTCCTCAGGTGATTTGCCCACTTTGGCCTCCCAAAGTGTTGGGATTACAGGCATGAGCCACCGTGCCTGGCCAAAAATATATCTGTAGGTGGTGGTGAGTATATGTACAACAAGTCATAGAATGCTTGGTTGTTCTCTCTTTTGTTCTGTTAGCAGTCACTGATATTTTTCTACATCTCTTAGTTTATTAGAATTTGTAAAATATTGATATTTTAATTTTTTCTTTATTTCTTTATTTATTAACTGGCATATTTTGAGAACTTCCCCTTCCCAACTATTTGGTTACCCTGAGATATAGTTTATATGGAAAAGTCAGGATAAATGTTTACTTGGGGGGCTAAAAAATGATGGATGTTTTTTCAGACTAACAAGATGTTATTAAGTTTGCTTCAGATAGTCAAAAGTATTTTAAGAAATTTAAAAATATTAAAATAAAGGTAAGAAAAGCCATTTTACACTAACCCAAATGTTTACTTTTTTGGGTGCCCCTAACTGGGCTCCCTCCTGGAATCATTTGACTCCAGCCTTTGGAATTTCTTGTGATGCAGGTGCTTGCAATGAATTATTTAAGCTTTTGCCCCTTTGAACATGTCTTTATTTTATTATAATTTCTGAAGGATCATCTGGTAGGATATAAAATTCTATGTCTTTTTTTTTACTTTTTTATTTATTTTTGAGATGGAGTCTCGCTCTTTTGCTCAGACTGGAGTGCAGTGGTGTGATCTTAGCTCACTGCAACCTCTGCCTCCTGGGTTCAAGCAATTCTTCTCCCTCAGTCTCCTGAGTAGCTGGGATTACAGGCACATGCCACTACACCTGGCTAATTTTTGTATTTTTACTAGAGACAGAGTTTTGCCATGTTGACCAGGCTGGTCTTGAACTCCTGACCTCAGGTGATCCACCCACCTCAGCTTCCCAAAGTGCTGGGATTACAGGTGTGATCCAGCCTAGTTTTTTTAATTTCAACACTTTAATAATGTCATTTGGTTGCCTTTTGTCCTTCATGTTTTTTTCTTTTTCTGATGAGAAGTCAAACATCATTTATTTCACTGGTTCCTGCATATTTATGTCAGTTTTTTCTGAGTATTTTAAAACTTATTTTCGTTTTTGGTTTTTAGTTGTTTGACTACAGTATGCCTAGCTGTTTTTATTTTTAAATTATTTTTATTAACTTGCTGAGGGCTGCTGGTATTCCTGTATTTATTCTGCCTGAGGTTGAGGTATTTAATCAGTTTTGGAAAATCGTTGGTTGTTATGTCTTTAAATAGTTCTAGTGTCTTCATTTCATCTCTTTTCCTCTTCTTTTGAGACTCCAATAACACATATGTTAGACTGTTTGATATTGTCCCTCAGGTCTTGGATGCTCTATTCTACTTTCCCCCATTCTTTTTGTATTTCCTTTGATATAGTTTATTTTCTTTGAGGAAACAATTTCCTTAATTTTATCAGAATCCAAGATATAACAAGAAAAATACCCCAAAACACATGGAGTCAGAAGATGAGATACAACTCCTCCCCACTGCCTCCATGCTTAGAGTGGGGACAAACAGGATGAGACAGCTGAGGGAGACCTGATCCTCAGTCTGCAGGCTCCAGGCCTGTGCTGGAGGAGGTAGGGGGTAGGCAGAGCTTATCCCCCTAGTCGGGGTAAACAGCTGAGGGAAGTCCCCCTTGAAAGACTCTGCCTCCTCACCAGCACTCCTGCCCAGGGACAGGGAGCCCATGACAGCAGGGGGGCTCTGGGGCCATGGCCATGTTTGTGATTGAGAAGCAGCTAGAGTGGAGAAAGAAACACATGATGATCTTGGCAGAATCAGTTGGGGCAGGGACCTGGGAGGGCCCCATGGGCCAAACCCTGAGGTCATAGGAGGGGACCCAAAGTGGGGCTAGCGAGTGAGGTCCTGAGTGAGTGGGTCAGCAGCTGGGGCCCTTTCTCCAGCTGCCTACACCCCCTCCCATACTGCTGCCAGAGAGGTCTGCCTCCAGGGAAATGGGGTAAGAAAGCAGCCCACCCTTGCTGCAGAGAGAGCTGGGTGGCTGAGGCCAGTAAGGAAGGGCTGGTCAGGCCTTGCCACCTGCCCCAGAGGCCTCTGGGAAGAAGACAGATCAGGAAAGGTAGGGACAAGGGCTCAACAGGCTCAGATCCAAGATGGTGCCAAAATCCCAGCTTGCTTGCTGGGTCACCCATGAGCTGGGGAACTGAGCTGGAGACTAGCAACTCTAGTTAAACAGGAGGCAGCAGCTTCGCAAGAAATTCCTCCACAGCTGCCAAGTCCTGGGGACAAGAGCTGTGCATGACACCAGGATATGTCTTGAACTGGACCCTGGCAGGTAGGACAACAGAATGGAGCTTCTCAGCCATCAGGACCCCAAACCATATGGACACTATGGGGTCCAGCTTCCCATGGCACTAAATGATTGTCAGGTCTTAGACACTGCTGTTAACTGCCTGGGGGAAGACCTAGTACTGAGGCAGCCAGCAGCTCAATGCCACAATGCCAGCCAGCGGGCCAGGTGGAGGGGCAGAGCCCTGCCTTGTGAAAAGCTACCCAGGACAACTTGATTGGCAGGGACCACATTCTTCATCTAGTGCTCAGTCAAGGCCTTGACTTGGGGGTGGGGGTGTGACTGGATGTGGGGAAGCTGCCAAGGGGCCCAGGAAGGGAGCCAGACAGAGGCACTGCCCAGTGCTTTCCTGGGGGGCAGGGAAGGGAGGAGGCTGAGGAAAGGCTGGGACCTTAAGTTCTCTGCTGCCTTATTGATGCCAGCCTCGTCCTCTGAGGCACCTGGACTCAGTCCCGTCAGGTCAAACTAGGAGGGCATCACCATCTTCATGTTCAGTGTCACAAGGATCATAGGCACATGGGGACAGATAAGGATGTAATTGACAGGCAGCTGGATGGTGAAGAGGGCTCAGTCCAGCTGTGCCTTTAGGAGGGTTGGGAGAAGAGGCATCAATGGAGGAAGATAGTGGTATAGTTTCTTTAGACTTGAATTCAGGTTTATAATTTATTTCCTCTGCAGTCTCCAATCTGTTGTTAAGCTTGTTCAGTGAATTCTTCATTTCTGGTATAATTTTCACTTTAAGCATTTCCATTTGTTTCTTTTTATAGTTTCCATCTCTTTGCTGAAATCCTCGTGTGCTTATGTGTCCTGTCCACATTATCTGTCAGAAGTTTTAACATGTTTATTTAAAAGTTTCTGTCTGATCACCTTCATCTGGATCTGTTTCTGATGGTTTTTCTTCACTTAACCTCTCATAGATCACATTTTCTTGTTGCTTCATGTGACTTATAATTTTTGATTGTATGGTATTTTCCTTGGACAGTAGAGATTGAGATAAAGAACATTTACTCCTTCTTCTTTCAGGCTCTGAGTAGGGCACGCTCACTTGTCACTGATTTGGGTTTGGGCTCCGTTGCCACTTTAGTTTGATTCCATTCTTCACTCACTTCAATTGTTTTGAGGGTAGAATCAGGACTTCCTTTTCTGTAAGAATTAGAGTCTGAACACTGGTGAAATTCCAAGGACCTCCTTTTCCTTTACAGATGAACTGTCTTGACTTTTGAGCCTTTGCTTTACAGCCTGGCTGTCTGGTTTTGGGGTCTTTGGGAAGTTCTTGTTGCTTTCCAGTTTTGCCTGTAGGGCTCTGTGCCTGGAGATACCTGGTCTTCTACCTCACACACAGTCTTTGGAAGGCTGCTGCAGTACACTCAAGAAGGCTGGGTTGCCTCAGAGAGATTTCTTAAAGCTGTTCTGCCCCACCCTAGTCTGTGGAAGTCTCCCTAGCACTCAGTATGGGCCCATGTGCCTTAGATGTTTATTAACATAGAACCCACACTTTCCCCCAGTGTACTGTCTTCACTTAATATATCCTAGAGATCACTCTACATCCAGATACTTTGCAGTACTTTTTATGACTGCACAGTATCTCATTGTGTGGCTCTAACGTAAGTTGTTCAGTCATCACTTTTTATGGAAAGTTTGATGTTCTCCATTATTTATTATCATCATAGTGTTGCAGTGAATAGCCTTTCATATTTTTTCCAGTCAGTCTTTGAGATGGAGCCCTAGAGGTCAATTGCTTGGTCAGAGAGTGAGTGAATTTGTAGTTTTGGATTTGTGTAAGTGGAGGCAAAGAAGATATTCTAGGCAAGGGGAATGGAGTAAACAAAGGCATTGAGGTGGAAACAGCAATTTGATCAGGGCATTAAGAGACAATTGGTCTGGTTGATATGAGGTATACAGATGGCAGGAAGCTGGGTGATGGCATCAGTACCCCTGATACTGGTTGTTGCTGTGTGCGAGTGGGATCGACTGCTAAGGCCACATCTTTATACTTCTGTACTATTGGTACTGGGCAAACATGGCCTAATTTTGACCAAGAAAATGGCATACTCCAAATGACAATTTAGAGAGATGAATATTTCCAAGTTGTGCATGATAGCTGGAGAACTGTCTTGAGCCATGGAAACTGGCTAAGTGATTAATGGGATACTCCAGGTGTGAAATGTTCAGAGCTACTAACAGGACAAACAGAGAAAATGGTTCCAAATCTCTGAGGAATTTTTCCCCTCTCTGTGCTATTTATACTCATGCTTCTTTCTCCTAGAAGCTTCTGGCACTTATGTGCACCTTTTTTTTTCCTTCATAAGTGATTGTGTGTGACTTATGAAGGAAGAAAGAGCAATGAGTCACATGTTACCATAGAGAGAAATGTCACTCAGAGATAATTGAAATATGAATGTAGAATTCAATGTAGTATATGGCTCTCATTTGAATGAAGAGAAGAAGAAATTCTTCCTGGAAATCATCTTCTATTAGGAGGACTTCATTCATTAAGGTTAAAGTGATCTTTAACTTTTGGGGGGGTTACAGATGTGTATCAATGATGACAAATGAGGATGTGCTGTAGGAACAATTAGCCTTAAGATCTCCTTGGAATAAAACATCAAAGCTTAATTTTTTTCCTCACACTACATGTCCATTTTGGGTTGGCAGGAGGGACCAGCTGATTGCAGACCGTCAGGGGCTGAGCTAATGAAGCTGCTGCCATTTTGACCGTTGCCAACCATGATACCAGAGGGAAAGGAAATGTGGTGAGCTTTGTCTCTTAAAGCTTCTGTCCAAAAGTACCCCAAGTCACTTCTCACATTTCAGTACCCCAAGTCACATGGATGTATTTACTTCTAGAGGTGGGAGAGTGCCATCTTCTTATGGGCCAGGAAGAGAGAAAAACAAAAGGTGTGTGATCACGCTGATAACTAGCACAGAATTACTCTAATAAGCTTATGAAAGCTGTGGACTCTCTCTCCCACAATATGCACAGATGTACACATTGCTGATACAATTTCATTTCAATTTCAAGTGGTTCACAGACATCCTGAAGCCCATATACTGATTCTGTAAAGATTCAACTACAGGATGAGAATTGTAGTTCCAAATTATATTCTCATTGCTAATTTCTCTACCAATATTTACCTATGAGTTTTCTCGCTCTCTTGCTCTCTTAAAAGCAATCTCAGTTCTTTTCACTTACTATGTAAAGTACTGTAAGAATCTAAACAGTAGTAGACTCTGGGAATGTATTCTAGAGCAGCATAATCTAGCACAGTAAGTGAAACTGTCACTTGACAATACTATCACTTCTTAGTGATGTGATTAGTCAAATTGTCAATGAGATTGGAGCAAATTACTTAACATTATGCATCTCAATTTTGTCTCCTCTAAAATAGAGATTCTAGAACCTTCTTCACAGGGTTGTTGACCATTTAAATTGATGGATATTTATGGGTTAGGACCAATATGTACTTTATCCCCTATAACTTCGCAAATTTGGGTGGCATTGTGTAGGTATGGGGTGGAGAAACATGGTGATACTCGTGTAAGCTTAAAGGGTTATTAGAAGAAGGTGGTCTTGTGTAAACACAAAAGACACAGGCTGTGTCCCTCCTGCTAATTTATGGCCGAGTTGAGTTGCAGGAGCAAACAAATAAGACCATTGAAAACTGAAAGAAATCATAAGCCTAGTATGGATCACTGCCAAGTGATTACTTCAGAAAATAAGTGCTTTAAATTCAGACAAGGAGAAGATTGCTATTAGTAGGAGGGATCATGGGAAGACTTTGCAGAAGAGGTGAGTTTTGAACTTGAAGGACTGAATTTGGGTTGGTGGTGTAGAGGAGGCAGCCATTTTGCTCAGAGGGAATGATGGAACAAAGCACAGGAATTAAATGAGATGTTGCAATGTGAACATACATGGGCTTGTTGAGCTTCTGGGAAATGTCCCTCAGGATTGTAATGACCGGGCTCAGGGCAGAAGTTGGGGAGTAGGGGATTAGGCACTGGGGCACTTGGAAGGGGCTTGGTGTGGACAAAGATGAGATCCCACAGGGGGAATAGGCTGGGGCTAGTCCTGAGCAATTCTGAAATTTCAGTCCAACTCAAGCTGCCACCTTCTATTATTGATTAGTACCACTGTCCCTCAGGAAGCCAGAGTTCCTACAAGTTCTTCCACTTCTAGGAAAACCTAAGTAGTATCTGAAATTCATCATTCCAGGGGTATTTGCATTTTAGTAGATGAACGAGTAAAGTGCGTTAAGTGGTGACAGGAGTTTAGTTGGGTGGCCTTCCAAAGCCATGCACCTTGTTTGCAGCTGCCCTTACCAAAGTTGCCCCACACTTCATTGACACTCTGACAGGCTCGCTCCTTGAATCAAATGCTTGCCATTTCTGCCCCGATAACTGTCATTATAAACAGAAGGCTCAGAAAGCAATAGTGAGCAGAGTGTTCATCCCAGCTTTCAAGAACCAGCTCAGTGTTAATATCTTCCTTAGTTTATCTAAAGTGATTTTTAAAAAACATTATTCTTATTATTTTTTTTTTTAAATTTTTTATTTGATTATAGGTTTTGGGGTACATGAGCAGAGCATGCGAGACAGTTGCGTAGGTACACACATGGCAGTGTGCTTTGCTTTTCTTCTCCCCTTCACCCACATTTGGCATTTCTCCCCAGGCTATCCCTCCCTACCTCCCCCTCCCACTGGCCCTCCCCTTTTCCCCCCAATAGACCCCAGTGTTTAGTACTCCCCTTTCTGTGTCCATGTGTTCTCATTTTTCATCACCCACCTATGAGTGAGAATATGCGGTGTTTCATTTTCTGTTCTTGTGTCAGTTTGCTGAGGATGATGTTCTCCAGATTCATCCATGTCCCTACAAACGACACAAACTCATCATTTCTGATTGCTGCATAATATTCCATGGTGTATATGTGCCACATTTTTCCAATCCAGTCTATTATCAATGGGCATTTGGGTTGATTGCAGGTCTTTGCTATTGTAAACAGTGCTGCAATGAACATTCGTGTACATGTGTCCTTATAGTAGAACGATTTATAGTCTTTTGGATATATACCCAGTAATGGGATTGCTGGGTCAAATGGAATTTCTATTTCTAAGGCCTTGAGGAATCGCCACACCGTCTTCCACAATGGTTGAACTAATTTACACTCCCACCAACAGTGTAAAAGTGTTCCTTTTTCTCCACATCCTCTCCAGCATCTGTTGTCTCCAGATTTTTTAATGATCGCCATTCTAACTGGCGTGAGATGGTATCTCAATGTGGTTTTGATTTGCATCTCTCTGATGACCAGTGACGATCAGCATTTTTTCATATGATTGTTGGCCTCATATATGTCTTCTTTCATAAAGTATCTGTTCATATCCTTTGCCCACTTTTGAATGGGCTTGTTTGTTTTTTTCCTGTACATCTGCTTGAGTTCTTTGTAAATTCTGGATATCAGCCCTTTGTCAGATGGGTAGACTGCGAAAATTTTTTCCCATTCTGTTGGTTGCTGATCCACTCTAGTGACTGTTTCTTTTGCCGTGCAGAAGCTGTGGAGTTTCATTAGGTCCCATTTTTCTATTTTGGCTTTTGTTGCCAATGCTTTTGGTGTTTTGTTCATGAAGTCCTTGCCTACTCCTATGTCCTGGATAGTTTTGCCTAGATTTCCTTCTAGGGTTTTTATGGTGCCAGGTCTTATGTTTAAGTTTTTAATCCATCTGGAGTTAATTTTAGTGTAAGGTGTCACGAAGGGGTCCAGTTTCTGCTTTCTGCACATGGCTAGCCAGTTTTCCCAACACCATTTGTTAAACATGGAATCCTTGCCCCATTGCTTGTTTTTGTCAGGTTTATCAAAGATTGTATAGTTGTATGTATGTTGTGTTGCCTCCGGTGCCTCTGTTTTGTTCCATTGGTCTATATCTCTGTTTTGGTACCAGTACCATGCTGTTTTGATTACTATAGCCTTGTAGTATAGTTTGAAATCCGGTAGTGTGATGCCCCCCGCTGTGTTCTTTTTGCTTAGAATTGACTTGGCCATGCGGGCTCTCTTTTGGTTCCATATGAAGTTCATGGTGGTTTTTTCCAGTTCTGTGAAGAAAGTCAATGGTAGCTTGATGGGGATAGCGTTGATTCTGTAAATTACTTTGGGCAGTATAGCCATTTTCACGATATTAATTCTTCCTAACCATGAACATGGAATGTTTCTCCATCTGTTTGTGTCCTCTCTGATTTCGTTGAGCAGTGGTTTGTAGTTCTCCTTGAAGAGGTCCCTTACGTTCCTTGTGAGTTGTATTCCAAGGTATTTTATTCTTTTTGTAGCAATTGTGAATGGCAGTTCGCTCTTGATTTGGCTCTCTTTAAGTCTGTTATTGGTGTAGACGAATGCTTGTGATTTTTGCACATTGATTTTATATCCTGAGACTTTGCTGAAGTTGTTTATCAGTTTCAGGAGTTTTTGGGCTGAGGCGATGGGGTCTTCTAGGTATACTATCATGTCGTCTGCAAATAGAGACAATTTGGCTTCCACCTTACCTATTTGAATACCCTTTATTTCTTTTTCTTGCCTGATTGCTCTGGCTAGAACTTCCAGTACTATATTGAATAGGAGTGGTGAGAGAGGGCATCCTTGTCTAGTGCCAGATTTCAAAGGGAATGCTTCCAGTTTTTGCCCATTCAGTATGATATTGGCTGTTGGTTTGTCATAAATAGCTTTTATTACTTTGAGATACGTTCCATCGATACCGAGTTTATTGAGGGTTTTTAGCATAAAGGGCTGTTGAATTTTGTCAAATGCCTTCTCTGCATCAATTGAGATAATCATGTGGTTTTTGTTTTTGGTTCTGTTTATGTGGTGAATTACGTTGATAGACTTGCGTATGTTGAACCAGCCTTGCATCCCCGGGATGAATCCTACTTGATCATGATGAATAAGTTTTTTGATTTGCTGTTGCAGTTGGCTTGCCAATATTTTATTGAAGATTTTTGCATCTATGTTCATCATGGATATTGGCCTGAAGTTTTCTTTTCTCGTTGGGTCTCTGCCGGGTTTTGGTATCAGGATGATGTTGGTCTCATAAAATGATTTGGGAAGGATTCCCTCTTTTTGGATTGTTTGAAATAGTTTTAGAAGGAATGGTACCAGCTCCTCCTTGTGTGTCTGGTAGAATTCGGCTGTGAACCCATCTGGACCTGGGCTTTTTTTGTGAGGTAGGCTCTTAATTGCTACCTCGACTTCAGACCTTGTTATTGGTCTATTCATAGTTTCAGCTTCCTCCTGGTTTAGGCTTGGGAGGACACAGGAGTCCAGGAATTTATCCATTTCTTCCAGGTTTACTAGTTTATGCGCATATAGTTGTTTGTAATATTCTCTGATGATGGTTTGAATTTCTGTGGAATCTGTGGTGATTTCCCCTTTATCATTTTTTATTGCATCTATTTGGTTGTTCTCTCTCTTTTTTTTAATCAATCTGGCTAGTGGTCTGTCTATTTTGTTGATCTTTTCAAAAAACCAGCTCTTGGATTTATTGATTTTTTGAAGGGTTTTTCGTGTCTCAATCTCCTTCAGCTCTGCTCTGATCTTAGTAATTTCTTGTCTTCTGCTGGGTTTTGAGTTTTTTTGATCTTGCTCCTCTAGCTCTTTCAATTTTGATGATAGGGTGTCAATTTTGGATCTCTCCATTCTCCTTATATGGGCACTTATTGCTATATACTTTCCTCTAGAGACTGCTTTAAATGTGTCCCAGAGGTTCTGGCACGTTGTGTCTTCGTTCTCATTGGTTTGGAAGAACTTCTTTATTTCTGCCTTCATTTCGTTGTTTACCCAGTCAACATTCAAGAGCCAGTTGTTCAGTTTCCATGAAGCTGTGCGGTTCTGGGTCGGTTTCTGAATTCTGAGTTCTAACTTGATTGCACTATGGTCTGAGAGGCTGTTTGTTATGATTTCAGTTGTTTTGCATTTGTTGAGCAGTGCTTTACTTCCAATTATGTGGTCAATTTTAGAGTAGGTGTGATGTGGTGCTGAGAAGAATGTGTATTCTGTGGATTTGGGGTGGAGAGTTCTGTAAATGTCCACCAGGTTTGCTTGCTCCAGGTCTAAGTTCAAGCCCTGGATATCCTTGTTGATTTTCTGTCTGGTTGATCTGTCTAGTATTGACAGTGGAGTGTTAAAGTCTCCCACTATTATTGTGTGGGAGTCTAAGTCCTTTTGTAAGTCATTAAGAACTTGCCTTATGTATCTGGGTGCTCCTGTGTTGGGTCCATATATGTTTAGGATCGTTAGCTCTTCTTGTTGTATCGATCCTTTTACCATTATGTAATGGCCTTCTTTGTCTCTTTTGATCTTTGTTGCTTTAAAGTCTATTTTATCAGAGATGAGAATTGCAACTCCTGCTTTTTTTTGCTTTCCATTAGCTTGGTAAATCTTCCTCCATCCCTTTATTTTGAGCCTTTGTGTATCCTTGCATGTGAGATGGGTTTCCTGGATACAGCACACTGATGGGTTTTGGCTTTTTATCCAATTTGCCAGTCTGTGTCTTTTGATTGGTGCATTTAGTCCATTTACATTTAGGGTTAATATTGTTATGTGTGAATTTGATACTGCCATTTTGATGCTAAGTGGCTGTTTTGCCTGTTAGTTGTTGTAGATTCTTCATGATGTTGAAGCTCTTTAGCATTCAGTGTGATTTTGGAATGACTGGTACTGATTGATCCTTTCTATGTGTAGTGCCTCTTTTAGGTGCTCTTGTAAAGCAGGCCTGGTGGTGACAAAATCTCTGAGTACTTGCTTGTTCGCAAAGGATTTTATTCTTCCTTCACTTCTGAAGCTCAGTTTGGCTGGATATGAAATTCTGGGTTGAAAGTTCTTTTCTTTAAGAATGTTGAATATTGGCCCCCACTCTCTTCTGGCTTGTAGTGTTTCTGCCGAGAGATCTGCTGTGAGTCTGATGGGCTTCCCTTTGTGGGTGACCCAACCTTTCTCTCTGGCTGCCCTTAGTATTCTCTCCTTTATTTCAACCCTGTTGAATCTGACGATTATGTGCCTTGG